GAGATGATGAGAGCAGGGGTGTTAGACTGCGGTTTTGGGTGCATGATGTGGGCTTCTTGGGCAGAGGATTTGGGCCAGAAAAAGGGCCGAGATTAATGGATTAATGGTTAACCGAGTGGGCTTGGCCCTTGCTAGGCTTTGCTTAAATTTAAAACAAAAAGGGAAAATTATAGAAAAACTAGTTGTAACTCGTGCATTTGCACGGAAAGCTATATGATAATGAAAAAAATAATAAAATAGGTAAACATTAGTAAAAATATAATATAATCATTAGAAAAAAATGTTTTAAGAAAGAAAATCTAAACATTATTAAATATTTCATTATATACAACGTTTGTGGTTTTACTATCGTCATAATCTCCATCAACACAAACCATTATCTTCAAATCCCTCCGGCTCGTGACTCTAGATAGTGCCACGTACAATTGTCCATGGTTGAATACAAGGCTCTTAAGTAGTAAGCCGACGTGCGAAAGAGGCTGCCCTTGACTCTTGTTGATTGTCATAGCATAGGAAACCATTAGCGGGAACTGTCTGTGCTGATACTTAAATGGTATCCTCAGATCAGATGGTATGATCGTGAGCCTAGGAATAAGAACCTTATTTCCCGCTCTACCACCGGTTAAAGTTTTGCATTCGAGGACGTGACTGCTAAGCTTAGTAATAACCAATCGAGTACCTGATCATCTCAAAATTCAGACAACAAAAACATATCACTCGAATTTGTACATGAAACAAAGATAATATAAATGATATGTAGACTTTTGATCAATAGTACCGTTGCACAAACCTATGGAGTGATCAATGTTACTCAGCAACATCATTGGAGTGCCGACCTTCAAAGTGCAATTTATGATTAGGAAGCCCCGAGCACTTAATCTCATTGAGAAATTCAGGAGTATGAAGATCGTCAAGAGAGTCATATCCCGCATCTGACTTGCAAGCAGTGTCCGAACTCAAATAAGTCTTTCTCTCGGAGGAGTTCAATGAGCTCATGTACTCGTTAACGGACTCAACGACATCAAGTGTCGGAGCGAGTATGGCTCTGTCCTTGAGGTAGCTAAGATCATCTCCCGAATTCTTAAACATGTGGTACGTACTCTCAACAATAGCAGCAATAGGATCCCTTTCTGATTTCAAAAGAATATCGTCAGGAATGTCGATATCTGCACAACCGTCGTTCGATCCACCGGTTGTACCGTCGCCAATGCTTGCAAGCCACTCCGAAAAGTGCCTCAACTCATCGTACTCGTCACCCCTCCCGAGGCTTCGAAGCCTCATATTTCGAGTAAGTCTCATAACGATACTATCCCGCCAAAATTTGGATGAATTGATTGTGGTATTCACGATGTCACTTCGAGTGCCTTTAGGGACAACTGGTAGTATATGTATGAAATCACCACCAAATACCTGGGAATACATGTATAACAATAAATGATAGATGATATAACTAATCACATATTTTTCTGCTCAACAATTGTTTATTCATAATTTATATTTATTCTTTTTTTTTTTTTTTGAAGTGAAGTTTAGCCCAATGTTAAATCAACCTACAACAATTATTGTAAATATTATTTTCTTACTTAACATGACAAAAATAATATAAAGACACCCAATATAAAGGTGAATAGACACAGTAAAAATGGCCCAAGTAGCCATTACATGAAACATGGGCCACTATAAGTTGTACAACATTATTTTTGGGCAATTTACATATGTACTTAACTAATTGCTAAATATTTGTAAAGATACCAAACAAAAAAATTATTTACACATCTACCTAATCCAACATAAATATTTAAATAAATACTACATATTAAAGGCATTCTCTCTCTTCTCTCATTTATCTACAACTAAAAATTATCATTAATTACACTCTTCATATTCATCCTTTTTTTCTCTGTCTTCTCCGTTATTTTCTACCTCTCTCTTCTTTCCTCCCTCTTATCTTTATTTCATTCCTTTAAATTTTAATTATCTCTTCATGTAAATTATTAAATAATTTTTTTACCTTAAATTTTTTAGTTTATTATAAGTTTATAAACCAACAAAAGAATAAATAAATTATTAAAAAACATCGAGTAATCATAATCACATTCGCACAAAATATATATACACAATATATACAAAAGATATACAAAATATATACAGAAAATATATAAGTCCAGAAAATATACAAAATAAAAAAGATAATTTCATCTTTTCGTAATTCTTTTTGTTTACTTTTTGCGTTATTTACATCTCGTGTTTTTCTGTATATTTATAGTATATTTTCTGGTTTAGTACATTCAACATATATTATTAGACTTAAATACATAAAATATACTGAAAATATACTCATTATATACGGAGGACATAAAGACAAAAACGCAAAATAAATCAATCTTGTCATTATATACAAAATATATACATAAGATATACAAAAAAAACATTAGTCTGTCGATTGTGCTTACGAGAATATATATATAAAATATTTTCCTCTCCTTCACGGCCTCAGACATTTTGACCTCGTTCAGCCTCTTCGTCTTCTTCTTCTTCGCTTCTCCACGACCGATTTACGGATTGCCGGTTTTTTTCCGGCGACTGTGCCGGGTTTCTTCGGAAGAATTGAGAAAAATCATTATACAAGTTTTCATTCAACAAAATAGATAGGGAGGAAAGGCGTTTGCTAGATCTGCCCGAAAGTCATATCTTGCTAGATCTGGAACCACCATGACTTGTGGATGCACTGCCGCTTGGGCGAGCGCCATGTGGCGCCTTTCCTCTCGCTTCGTTGAAGGCAGAGAAGGTCGAAGGTTAGGCGGTTCAATCTCTCGTTGGCCAAGAAAATGGGAGATGGTGTAGATTAGGGGTTTATCCGATCGCAGCTTTTTAATGTTTGGAGAGGATGAATATAATTTGTTGATCATCAAAGATGGTGTAGATTGTGACTTTTCAAAGTCTGGAGAGAATCCATAATTTACACAGCCCACCAATATGCTATGATTTATTTTGTGGCATATATGCAAATAAAAAGTATAATTTGTTTAATATTGCTATTACTTGTAGATTGATATTAATTGTGTAATACAAAGTCTAATATAGTGTTTTGAGTAATTTTTTCATTATTTTTTTATTTTTAGTGTTAATGGTCAAATAGCTCATTACACATAGTAAGTTAACAATTTCTTATTATTATTTTTTTCTATTAAACGGTCACATTGACCGAAGCTTCCAATAGAAGCTTGAATGTTCAAAGCTTTCTTTATATCAATATTAAAACTTTATATTAATATTATATATGGAGAGTGGGTTTGTAAAGGGAAATCCTACTAAACAAATGCGAAATTTACGCCGCTTAAACATCCCTTCCCCCAACCTTTCTTCTCAGATCGGAGAACAATTTTCCAACCCTTTCTTCTTCATTTGGCTGCCGTAAATAATTTTTATAGACAATAAGGAGGCTTGTATGATCTATATTTTGCCCAATAAATCCCTGAAATTTTTAAGGGTTTGATTTCAGAACTGGCATTAGATCTACAATAATTTTTGGCCTTTTTATGTTACCACTTTCTAACTAATAGAAAGATGGTGAATAAGGTCGATAAATCTCCAACTTTATTTTATTCAGTGTGTTTTTGTGATTTTTTTATAATTTTTTTTATATTTTGACTTGCTCGGGAATGGAAAGTTGGTACCATAAGTCGATTTATCGGCATATCTGAAATTATTTTTATTTTTTTTATAATTTTTATCACCAGATATTAACAGATCTGGTGTTTGAGTTTCGAAAAAAGATAAGAAAACGAAGTAATTTTGATTATTTTAAGTTCGAAAGATATAACATATTTTAGAGTCCGGTTTTATTTTATTAAACTTTAAATTTTTTTTTTCAAACGTTTACGGACATAAGGCCGAACAGAAGCATTTGCAGGAGCATATGAGGCTAACAGAGGCAAGAACATAAAACAGATAAGTGGGGATTCTTCTATCTGTTAACTAAATTTTTTTGAATTGGTTTGCTTTATTATGATCTAACTAACATTTTTAGTTTCCTATATGATTAGGAAACTTATACAAAACAACATACGAAGGAAGACGATGACGATGGAAAGGAACACAACTGAGAGAGCACTGAAGAGAGCACTACACAGTTATAGAATCATCTACATAAGCTTTGTCATGTCACGAAAATTAATTCTTTTTTCAGCTCCAGATAAATTTGAAATGACAGAGTTTTGCATGTTTATATAGAAGTATTCACAGCCTATAAATGTCAAAATATTTAATGGTAATAAATGTTTTAATTCATGATTATTGCATTTTAATTAATGATTATTGTAAAGGATATCTTATTGGTAAAATAATTTATTGTATTAAAATAATTAATTGGTATATTGAGTTTGATTGGTAAAATTTGTTGACTTGATTATTGAATTTTAATGAAAGAAATGAGTGCACATATGCAGTTAGAAATATTGAATTTACTGTAAATCTGATAAGTATACATATTGCAAATTCGTTGCCTTCTTTTTGGCAAAAGATATTTTTGTATTATATTATTTCATTGCCTCATTTAGTTTGCGTGGCAATGAGAATGGTCAACATAATTATTTAATTAATTTATATATTTATTCCAAACTTAACAATACAAATGAAAAAAAAATAGAATTTTAAGGATAAAAAATCATTTTGAATATTCATGTAAAAAAATGTGCAAAAATCATGCTGGTAAGTGGAAAACTAATTCTTTTTTATTATTATAAAAAGGGAAGTCAATTGAAAAAGGAAAGTCAATTGTCTATCTCTGAAAAAAAAAAAAAA